TTAACGAATTTTTGATTAACAAACTCAACGAGTTCAGAGCGAGCATTGTACGGAAAATAACAGTTTTATCTCCAGTGCGGAAATTCTAAAGATATGCTGTTTTCAAATGTATGTGGTTTACGGGCGAAGAATATGATATTCAATAAATATAGGTAACACACAAAATTTTAAAAAAAGAGTGCTTCTAGATTTTATTTTATCTTTTTTTCTTTTTCCTTCATTACGCTCAGAAAATTTTATGTTCCGAATTTTATGAATTATTAAAATAACTAATCCACTTTAATGTTAATAATTTAGGGATCATATAATCAAATAAATATGATCATTTTGTAATGTTATTATAGTTTGGAAAATCACTGCCTGAAAATGTTCATTAAATTTAAAAAAAATTATCAGATCTTGTTTAATTTTACCTTATTTATTTCAAAGCATCGCGTTCTATCAATCTTATTTAATTTTACTTTAATGCAAAATTAAGTTCATAAATTTTGTGCTTAGAGTTTTAACGTTTTGCCAAAGTAAAGATGTTTGTGCAAGAATTGCGCGTAAAAAAAATGCGCTATATGCAGTAAAAAGTACTTTAATGAGATATATTAAATCCTATTTGGAAAAAACTGTGGCTTTCATAATCTCATCACTCTACAACGTATCACATTTAATAATTAAAAAGAATTATGTGATATAAACGCCATAGATTTCAGTGTTAAAGTAAACCAGATCATCCGTACTCTTTCTCGCCGACATGTCGGTGACACGCGCCCCGCCCACTGGGTTAGTCTATCTCATAAGGTCCATGATAGCACCACATTAGGGTGACTTTTCACGATCTGACGCTTTGCTCTGCCCCATTTGGTTTGTGGCCACCTCCTTCTGCAGCTTCAGTTATGAATAAAACAAAACCTTAAAAAATATTTTACTTCTAAATTCAACATTATACAGTTGTCCGTGTTGGCTAAATGTCCTATCGCCTAAATGTCCTTATCGGCTAAATTACCTAAATGTCCTTATCGGCTAAATGTCCTGTCGGCTAACTGTCCCTGTTGGCTAAGTGTCCTTGTCGGCTAAATGTCCTGTCAGCTAAGTGTCCATGTCGGCTAAGTGTCCATTTCAGCTAAATGTCCTGTCGGTTAAGTGTCCCGTTGGATAAGTGGTTGTCGGCTAAGTGTCACGGACTCGGTTTCACTAATATGTCAGTATCCTTTCTCTGAGCCATGCACCCACAAATGCAGACATGTGGGTTCTTTTGTGAAAACAGTGAACTTAGAAAAGTCAGTTATCAATGATGGTAGCTGCTATTTTGCTTCATGCATTTATTTCATTCAAAACTGTTGAATTTATAGAAAAAAAATTGTAATAAAAGTGCAACAATGTATCAGTTTACTGACAATATTTTATTAATAAAATTGCAATTAGTCATGAAGAATAATGTAGCAAAATAAAAAAGCTTATGAATTGATTTTCATTACATTTAATTTTCTAAAATACTGTAAGTGAATAACAAGGCTGGATTAACTATTAAGCTATATAAGTGCATGTTTAAGGCTTCAAAGAAAGGAGCACCAAAAAATTTCCATTGGCAGTTTTACTTTGGTAAGCTAAATCAAAACTGACAGATAGAAGGAATGAAGAAAAAACTGGTGTAAAAATAGGAGGGGATGCCAAAATCTTTTTTAAGTGTTTTAGGCCTCTAAAAGTCGTAATCTGGACCTGGTGAATAATATTACAAAATGTGGAAAACAATCTTATACATAAAGAAAACAAATTGTATTTACAACCTAACACCTTAAAGAACTGTTAAAGTTCAAAAAGTAAATATATATGAATATATATACATACACTGGTCATCAAAACTAAAGGATAATGGTAGAAATAAACATATAACTGATACTTAATGAAAAATTATTAAAATAGAAATCTGTACAAAAGTATTACTTAACATAAATTACAATATTTGGCAGTTGATTATTTGCAAAATATTGAAATTAAACCAAATTTATGGAAATTAGGAAATGATGAAAAAATTAATTCACCTCTTATGGAAAAATTTGTTCTTTAATATGGTGATCTCGGAGAGATCTGCCTACCTCACATCTTGATTTCGTAGACTTAACCAAAGTGTTGATCAAGTCTTGTGGAATTGCATGCTGCTTTTCTGAAAGTGTACTTTTTGGCTCCTGTAGGGTCTAAGTAGGAATTTTGCATACTGAAATTCGGCGCTGTAAGGCATCCCGTACATAATCAATCTGGTTCAAATTGGGTCAATAAGATGACCGGTTAATTCGAGTTATATAATTTATTTGCAAGTGTTTTGATGCCATGTATGCTAGATGAGGCCAAGCATTGTCATCCATTAGCAAAAACCCTGGGCCAGCAGGCCCGCTGAACAGTCTAATTGTGGTTCCAATACCTTGTTTACATATCTCTGAGTGGTTACAGAACCTCCTTGAAGGATTTGCAGCTCAGTGTGGCCATTTGTCATGATTCCTTCCCAAATCATTAAATTGTGGTCGCGAAAACGGGATATTTCACTAACAAGGGAAGGCAAGTTGTGTGTTCCTTCCTCTCTCCAGACCAAAACATGTCGAGTCGCCATTCAGATTATATCTGGGCTGATCATTAAATAATACTTGGGCCCAGTTGTCTTGGTTCCATTGAACATAATGACTGTGCCAGTTTAAACAAGCCCCTCTGAAAGTTGGAGTGAGTGGGACACAGACCATTGCTTTTCTCGCATACAGTCTAACCTCGCTAAGCCTTCATACACCTAATTGTAATGGTTAATTTGAGTTTCCGTGGCAGCATAAAAGTCTAAAACCAAATCCCTTGTAGTTGCTTCACAGTTTCTTCGAGCTGACAGCAACAGAAAATGGTCTTCTGATGCAGTTATTGCTCTTGGTCGCCTTTGATCAGGTTGTCTATCAACTGATTCAGTCCTCAAAAAGCAGTTCTAAACTCTTGATATGACACTCTGAGGGATTTTCAAATCGTGGCAACTTCCATTTGTGCTTGACCTCCCTCTATTCTACACTTATTTGTCATATTGGACTTTTATTAAATTGATGCCTTTGAACCATAAATACTGAATACTGATCACTTTGAGAAACCATATTCACTTTAACCAACACTACAGACTAGAATTCCATCATGAGTACATTGTGCTCCATATTATCAATCACTAAATTCTTCCTATTTCCGTTGCTAAAGTTTGCACGGAATTTCAATTTTGTGTTCAGTTCTAATTAACTAACATAAATAATTACAGCATTGGCCATTAGTTGCAACATTAACTGAGTATATTTTTTCTCATTATCCTTTACTTTTGATAAGCAGTGTATGTATATAATTTTATAAAGAAATACTAAAAGAAAAAAATTAAGGAATTTCAAAATTTAGTTTAAAAGGACTTTAAAAAAATTAAAATCCTGCACACTGTCGCTGCATACTGCAGCTAAACCAAATTTGAACTGTTGATGATTTTTAGGATGATTCCAATACCCCTTAAATCAGTATCTTTCTGTGGAATCAACAGTGATTTTAGTTGTTTTAATTGTTTAAATTTACTTTTTATTTATTTAACATTTCTAAATTACAAATTTCCATAATACCTTTACTCTCTAACCTTTCCTTCACATTTCCTAGGAGATAATCTTAATCATTTATATATATATACATACATATGTATACATGTATAGCTAAAAAATCATGAGATACCTGTTGTTTGAAAAAAGATAATCTACCAGATATTCAAGATTTAGAATTTAAAATCATATTAAAATAATACCCTGTTCAGAATAATAATGCCAGATTGTAGGGAAAAAATTGATGTGACTCTACACTGTCGTAAATTAATGTTTGTTGTATAGAATTTTTTGCTCTTATTTTATATATATATATATATAAACAGCCTTAATTATTAAGGATGTAGTTGTGCATTTTTTCATATTCATGAGGATTGTAATAACATTGTATTTACGTGTAGTGGTAGTGCTTTCTATTTTCTCAGGATACTAAATCCATGAAGTGAAAATGATAAACATCTCAAAGAAGTTTCCCTTGAGGTTTTTAGGGTGGTGGGAGCTTACATTGTAAATTTTGTTTTATAATTTGAAAAAAATTCTCTATTCCTACAAAGAAGTGATTAACCAAAGGGAAAAAAAATTAAATCTGCTTATTTGATTCCTTTTCTTAAACACTTCAAACCCTGAGTAAATATAGAGAAATATAGTACACTACCACATGTTTTCACTGTTCTATCCAGTTTCCAAATGCTGTAGTTGTACATATTGTTTGTTGTATTAAAATAAAGTGCCATTTAAAGGATTACTAAGCCTCTCTTTTCTGTATATCTGGCAATAAATCAGCCATTTAATTTTTTGAAATTATGACCTATTTTTTAAACTTGTTTAACAGAATTTAGAGCTTAGAAAACGTTACTGCCATCATCCAGATTTTTGATTTGCATATTATTTCCCTTACAGCTTGAACTTATTGATTTTTTAAATAGTGTTTTATTATGAATTATTACTAATTATATTTCCCTGTTGAAGATACATTTCTTAAATTGTAATGTAATTTAAAATAGTTTAGGTTGATACTAAATTTTTCGGTGGCCGTAACATAATTATAAATAAATGTATTTGGTGTCTCAGTCAAGTTAGGGAACGGCATTCTGTATTATAATTTTCAGTACTGATGTTTGTTTATGTTCTTTGAAATACTGCTCATTTTTCATGATTATAAGTGGGTGTTTGCTATGACAGGGCTCATAGTACATTTAAATGGTATAATTTATAAGAGATTCAGTTGGAATTTTTATGAATATTTTCATCATTCTTCTAATTAATAAAAAAATTGTCCCATTCCAATGTATTGCATGCCTTGCTATAAAAAATTATAACTTTTTTTTATTATAAATTATAAGACTTGAATGTATTATGAATTACATCAGTTAAAAGTATTATAATAAAGATGTATTTTTATTATTTTTTGGCATGACATAGGTTTTAATTCAAGGGCCTGTAGATTGTAGATTTGGAATATTGCTGCTGACAGCAGAAAAAATTAAAATTTTAGGTGGAGAAGTAGAAAGTAAATTGAAACGCTTTTCTCGTGAAAGCATCTTAAGAGAAGTGCTGTAAGTTGGTTATTAATTTTTTATGTGTTTTTTTAAACCTGCTAAATATAGTGTTCCTTATTAAAGTTAAACTTTTTTTTTTCCCCCTAAGGCAACTCCCTATTGATGATGGCCTGGAAGCATTAAACGCAATAGGCAACGCTGAATCATCTGCCAGTGTTGGACAAAATGCTGATCAGTTTCAAATGAATAGTTCTCTTAATTCTTATACATCACAGATGCGTGAATTTAATCATGCAAGAAACGTACAGGCAAGTACAGCAGCTGAAAATAACATAGATCATTTTGAAAGTGATGATGATGACTTTGATCAGTCTCTGGATTATGAAGTTATTGATGAGATAGAGAAAATAAACAGTCAGAGAGAAAAACCAGTAAGCTTAAGTATATGCTTCTTAATCTTTGAATAATTAACGTTTTCAAAAACTTTTCTTAGTTGGTTCTGTATAAGTTATTGATACTTTCTATCATTCTATTCCTCTAGTTGTTGATTGATTGTACACACGACCCTCGCTAGTTTGTCAAGCTAAGACATAAAAGATGACACATATTTTCAAAAATAGCAGCACATCAAGAATTACATAAAACAGTAACCAATTAATAAAATAAAATATGCCAGAAATATTCACAATAAAATACTTGCCTCCTTTTTTTTTCCCCTGTTTTCCTCATGTACATAGTGATTTGTTTTATTTTAGTTTAAAAAACACCAGACATTGCATAAATGTGCCATTGTGCACACTTTTGTTTTTCCATGTACACAGCAATCTGTTTTCACTTCAAAAAAATCAGAGAATTGTATCAATTCTGTTCCATAAAATTTGATCGTTTATGACATACAATTCCATGGCATGTGGATTTTTTCTTTCTTTACTGTTACGCAAAACACCATATGTCTGAAGAAATGTGATGCTTTCTCTTTCATTAGCTGGCAAACTTCATAGTCCCAATATGATTCCTTACAAGAAAAAAAAAATTTCACTCAATGAATGCAACAAGAACAGACACTAATGGTCATCGAATCTGAAGGTGGAACTTGATGCTCGTCTGCTGTGCATGCTCATACATGGTTTGCCACGTAAAAATATTTTGGTAGCATCATGGGTTGCCTGTTTTAGTGTCATATTGCATTGCTTCATGAATACTTTTCAGGAGTTTGTGGATAATCAGAAAATCCCAAGTTAATCAATCCATGGGTCTGTTTACGATTTTATTTAAGATGATTTTTTATATCTATATGAATAAAGAGAAAAACATCTTGTAGATCATGCTGAAAAGTTAAAGAAATTTAGAAATTTCCAAAATTTAGTTTTTTAAAGGCTTTAATTCCAGTAAAAAGATATAATACATTTTCTAGATCAAAATGACAGTTAGAAAAATTCTACGCATCTATACAAATCTCTCTACATCAAAATTATCAATAAACATAGAAAAAGTGTTCTACCTTGATGAAACTTGATATGTGCACTGAAGAGACAAGTAAGAAGTATAGTTGACCTAATGAATTTCAAGACCCTGGAAGTTTAATTCACTATATCCAGTCCAATGAGAAAAATGGATTATCCCACTAAAGAATGTAAAAACTGAATGATGAATCACAAAAAAAGGGAGGAGGAAAGAAAAAGAAAAAATCTAATTAATATTGTTACTTTTACCAAAAGAAGTGAATAATAAGTTTAATTTTAAAAAGTCAAATTAAAATTAATTCCAGTCATTATATATTATGTGCAGAATTATGGAACTGAATTTGTTGGTCATTCTTTTTCAGTTTCAGTACCAATTAATAATTTTGCATGGTAAATTACTTAGCATAAGCATCCTGGATTGGATCTTTGTGTTCACATCTGTAACTTAAAAAAAAAAAAAAAATGTAAACACTAAAAATAAATAACAAAAAATATTGATTAATTTACTTTTAGCAACTTTTGAATTTAAGAATAACCTGTCATTTTTTGCTGGTGTGATGCAGATTGTAGAAAATTTTTACCCATATTTTTATCCAAAATTTGAGAAGCTTCCATCACTTCAATTCTGACAGTTTGTGTGATGCAAACTTATTAATGACATGAGTTGCAAGCTTGCTATCCAGTGTGGTAAGGAATTCACTTTTCATATATTTTCCTCAACATTTCCCTTAGCATCAGAAACAGAATCTTCATCAGCACTTTTCCTTTTAATTTTTGTTGCAGTATCCAGATTTCCTATAGTCCTTGAAAATATTTAAAAGTCTTTAGATTTTTTTAAATGACTTTTGGGCCTTAAAAGTCTTTAATTTGGTCCAAAACTGGCAAAAAATCCTTAATTTTACATTTTGGAGAAATATTTTTTGGTGATTCATTGACAAATATGAACTCGAGGGGTTATCATTTGAATTCTTTCCTACTTCTTTCCTACTGTGGTGCTCGAATTTTTAAGCAGGAGGTACTACCTATACTGAAACATTTCAAATTTATTTCTTTTTGGGGAATAAAGAGTTCATAAAATATTATGTCAAAAACAACTTTTCCCATTTTAAGGCATGAAAGAGAGAGAGGAGCCCCGTTCACAAGAGCATATTCGACCGGTAGCGAAAACCAGTTCTTCCAATGTGTCCCATTCACATAGACAAGCATTAACTGCCTCGCCGAATTGGAGGTAGAACTTGGTTGAATGTTCCTTACCTCTCGGTAGCAGAGCAAATGGGGAGATTTCCCGTACTATACTGCACGGTTCACTTAATTTTAGTTACTGCTCACTGGACTGTCAGCGAAACAATCGTGCTGATAGATGTCTGGGGATGTGATAGCATCCCCTCAAAAATTAGATAGAACTGTACAAGATACGGAAATTATAGACAAATACAGACAAGGTTATCTGATGCTAGGTATTCCAGAAATATCGTTCAAATTAAAACTAAAGTTAAGACAAGTGCGTATCGGCTTCAGCACGACAAGGGATTCGGTACCTTCTGAATGATTATTTTTAAAAAATTTAAGCATTTTCATCTGATTTTTATGAATATTATTAAATGGTTTTGTGAGGCAAAATAATTTTAAGCTGAAAAAAAAGTTTTTGCTAGTAATTTTTTTTAATTTAAATTTTTGAAGAAAAATTTTACAATTAAAATGTCTTTTTCTCCTACAATTTTCAATGTCTCCCCCCAGTTTTTTATTGTATTTTATTAGAGTGTTTTTAATAACTTCAAGGAATGATTTTGCAATTAATGAATTACTTTCTGAGAAAAAAATAAAAATACACTTTTATCTAAAATCTTTAAAGCAAATATGACCTCAGTCACATTTTCATTTCAAGTAATTTTTCCTTTCAGTATTTTGCAAAACCCATCCTTGTGTCTGTATATAATTTTAAATAAGCAGTAAAAATAATAAATAATTTAGTCCATACCTGTATATGTTTTAGGACTTTAAGTAAAAGGATTTATTAAAAAAAAAAATGCAAAAGCTTTCTCAGTTTGCATTTACAGTTTAAAGAATACAAACTGTCTAAATAGACATTTAATCATTTCAAATCTTTAAAATTTTATTACTGAATTTCAATACACACATATATATATAAATCAAACCTAGTGCTATTTATTCAGTTGGTAAATATAAACATAAATTACAAGCCTTTTTTTAAAACCTTATGTGGCCAGAAACATTGCAAAAACTCACAAAACGCAAGCAGAATTTTTCTTTGCCTGTTTTTGTTTTGTAAAACACGTTCAAAACAATTTTAATATATAAATTAATTATAATATTGTTGCATGCATATGGGTTTGTAATAGATTGATAATAGTTCGTAAATGATTGTCATTGCACTCAAAACCGATAATAGCTTAATTAAATTTATTTTATCAACAGAAACACTTCAAAGTTCTGGAATTTTCCACAGAAATACTCGTACAAGTGTTTAGAATATCACTAAGTATAATCAGTAGTTTATGCTTCAATCTAATAAGAATGTTAAACACAACGGAATGCAAAACGCATCTTAAGAGAAAGTTAACTCAGAAATATCTCCAATCTCACGCTGAATTAACAACTGGCAACAATAACAACTTATATAGCATAAATAATGTCATAAAAAAGTGTGATATAATGAGATCATTACTTTGAAACTGATGTTTCAAATTGATGCCCAAGAAGAACCAATATTTCCCATTCTGCTTCATTGCATATCTTTCAAAAAGGTAAAAAAATCATCCAATTAATTTCCTTTTATCATTTTTTTTAAATGCTAAAAGTTTGTTTTATAATCTGTGAAAATGTCGGAAGTTTGTAACCGATATATTTTTAGATATGAAATTTTAAAATTAATGGGTGTCAAAAAGTCTAAAAATATGAACGATTTTCAAAAATTCTCCCAAAATATTTTTTTTTTAAAATTATGCTAAAAATTTCATCTAATTTTTTTTTCCTCCACAGTGTGTTATGGTGCAAACTATAATATTCTGAGATTCTCAGTTTATTTGTTAATATTTGCAAAAAATCGTCTCAACTTTAAATCTGAAAAAAATCTAATCCTCTAAAAATCAAAAGCGTGACACCGCATCCACAAGCAGTGTATGTACAAAGTTTGAGTTCTATATCTTATCGGGAAGCAGTTTAAAAATCCATGACCATCTTTTAACCATAGCGATAAGCACCAAGAGTGAACTAAATAACAGCTTATGAAATAATAAATATAATAATTGAAAAGCATATATTTTTCAGGAACCATTACAAAAGTTCAGGTACCAGTTGCGAAAGTACAGATTACAAAATTAACAACAGTAAACAACGTTAAAAATGTGTAAACAGTTAGAAATCTGCCAATTCGGAGACGTGATTGTTCACAGAGGCTTAGGTGTAAAGGGAAGGAAGACGGTGATCTTCTGAACGGGTCCTAAAGACGAAACTCATCTTCTCTTGTCTCCTTTTTCTCCTCTTGCTAGCGGCAGCTGTGCGAAGGAGCGTTGCATGTGAATGGGACTAGGGGGTAAAAAAGGAAATTCTTTCTCTTGTGCCTCGTGAGACATATGCGTGTCAGAATAAGAAGACTGCTATATGCGTGTTGCGTGTATAATTAATAATGTTTTATCTCATATTTTCAACTCTCAGCAGTCCAGTATACAAAGCATTGAATGAAATACTGTTGCCAAAACCACATTTCTAAATGAATGAAACTATTCAAAATGATGCAATTTAATCAAAAAATATCAATTTAAAAAAAAACTGATTTGAATTTTGAAAAAAATCGCTTTGAGGTGTACTGGCTTTTGTCTAGATGCACCTATGTACCTGGATCTATTAGCTTATGCGCAGCACAAACAAAAGACACACACACAAACAGACTATTTTATTATATGTAGAGATTATCCTAATATCATTTTGGAATCAGTATCATAAATTGCATATGTAATTATGTTAAATAACAATTTATCCTACTTACGGATTTATTTTATTCTTAGAATAGTGAATAAAATAAATTAATATAGCTAATTGCTTTCATTTATCCAGTTTTCTCTGCTTGATAGGTCCTTAATTTTTTCATTAATTGACCTTAAAGGTCTTTAATTTCTATGCACAGAAATTTTTATGAATCATGACTATCTTCTCATGGAACAGCATTATCATCACAACTGAAAAAAACGTCCTGTCACATTTTGAAATGTAATTTTTTTCTAGAAAATTAGCGACAGGCAAATCCTTATTTTCGTCTTTCTCTGCGATACTATCTGCTAGACCAGCATACTGAAAAGATTTCTAAGGACCTTTCATGAATTGGTTTGATGAAATATTAGTCAACAAGAGGGGGGTAGATAAACAGAAGGTATCCAAATGTTATCTCAAGCTTTATGAACTATCGCCAGAGCAGCAACATATATCGAGTTTTAATGAAAGTTTCCCGCCACTGCAAATATTGTCAGCATAAACAGATTGTGTTGGTGTGTTTAATCATATTTTGTCAAATGATTTTTGGCATTTGAAAAAAAAAACAGACTTGCTTTAGAACAGTATGGTGTGAAATTTGTAAAAAAATTATCATTATCATCAAGTACAAGGTGTCTGAAATGGAACTATCCTGCTGCTACAGAATGTGACCAAATCATGTGTATAGCTTTAAGTAGTAATGTTGTATGATATGATACTGTGAAGGTGTGGTACCGAAAGTTCAAAACCAAGGACTGTTACATTCAAGAAGCAGCAGAGTGAAGATCAGTATGTAACCACTCAAGAGCTTGCTATAAGGAGTTAGACGTTAGTGCCATGTTCTGGGTATCACATGAGTTGATGTTAATGAGGCCTGCCTGCAAGAATTTGTGGAAGAAGATCAGTATGTAACCACTCAAGAGCTTGCTATAAGGAGTTAGATGTTAGTGCCATGTTCTGGGTGTCACATGAGCTGACTCAAGCAGATAAAGACAGGCGTGTTCGGGCCTGCACTGATCTACTTGAATGTAACCAATGATAAATGTCGCAAAGTGCAGTTTGTGTAAAAAAAATTATGCTTTGTATCTGGTGGAATTGCCGTGTTATTATCCTTAAACAGTATCTGGGAAAAGGTAAAACTCTCGACAGTGAGGTGTACCGTGAGATACTAGTCCATATTGATGCTGCTATCAAAGAAAAATGTTGAACTGAGTTCTGGCACAAAAGAGGTAATGTTCCATCAAGATAATCCAAGACCATGTGTGTTTGCATTCACTGGTTGGACTCTGTAGAGTCGAATGGCATCTTTTGCCATACCCACCATGTAGCCCCAACGTCGTGCCATTTCCCCCCCCCCACACACACACACCTGCAGCTACATCTTGCTGGTGTTATCTTCCATTCTGCACAGGACGTCTGAATTGAGGTTGATCTGGTTTTGGACTCGCCACCAAGTTTCTAGGCCTAATGAAATGAAATTGAAAATCTACCAAGACACTAGCAGAAAATCATAGATTTTGGTAATTACTACAGCATTAAAGGTCTACTTTTTTGGTTTCCCCCCCACACACACACACACGCTAACGTTATTAAGAACGATTTTTGGCAGAAAACTTTTGTTACAACCAGATATTTCTACTTTGAGAGATGTAGCCTAAGTGATGTTGAAGTAACCATCCTTGGACATTGTCTGGGAGAATATATACTAATTTTTTTTTTTTAATCTACTTGAAAGACTATACTTGCATTGCAATATGTGTTCTAATTACTACGATAGTGAATAAAGAGGAAAATATTATAAATTATAGTGAATAGGTGAGTATTTTTGTTTGTTTGTGTTTGCCAATTTTGTTTGTATTATACTTGTAAAATAAATATATGTTGAAAAATATATCTAAGACATACATTAATAGTCACAAATTTTAAGAGTGATTGGTTTCATTTCTCTTTAGCTTTCCTTTAAAAAATATCATGATTGTAATGTGGATAAAATTGCTCTTGGCTTAGTGGACTAAATTTCAAGGAAATGTGTAATTTCAGTGTAAACATTGCTAGAGAGTAATGCAGTAGATGCTGAGATTGAAACTATTCTTAAATTGTAAATAAAAAATCTGGTATGGACACCATGTGACATGTATGGTCTATTAAATAATACACACTTTTTGCTGTACTTTATTTATTTCCTTGAATTTTTCTAACTTAATTAACTGTTGAAACAAACTGTTACCAAAGTTGAAAGTGACATAAAAAATAGCAAATTTTGAAATTAAATATTCGGATCAATTTTTGTCATATAGGAGTCAAACTTCTTGTATTTTTATTTTTTCATAAGGAGTATTTTTTAAATTTGACATTGCCCAAACATGAATATATTTGTCATTTAAAACATTTCTATTATGGGAAGTAGACTATTACCAACATTTGCAAAATTAAAGGCCAGGTAAGGGAGTGGGTATATATGTGATGATATAATTTAGTTCATTGCAGAAATTTGATATGAGGTGAGTGCTTGAATATGAAAGACATTATTTTGAAATCATGGACGAGTGAGATTAGATCACTGAAAATATTGATTACGTAGTGAAATATGCAAGAAACGCTTGAAGAATCACAAAAATCACTTGATAATTTAAATATATCTTTATTACTTTGCGGGAAATCCGCACACCACAGTTTTGATGATGACACATTATATTTTTAATTGAAGCAGCCAAGCAAGAGACATCAAGAGATGTAGAAAGTGTAGAGAAAGAGAGAGCATACCAAGGATCAAGGATTATGTTTTATGGAGTACCTATAATTCAAAACCATTTATCGTCTTTTCATCATGATGTAATTACATAGTTTAAAGTGTGAGATGCAAATTGCTGCCATTCTGTTTTGAAAGCATGAAGCGACAGTATTATTTCTGAAGATCAAGAATAAAAAAATATTTTGGACTGTTTAAGTGATGTGTAGCTTTACGATACGATTTTTAAGTGTGTTCAGTAAGCTTTATGATACCAAAATGATGTTTATCATTTTACAATCTCTATCTTAAACCAGTCCCTCGGCCATGTTTTTCTACTTAATTGATTTTTGCCACCTACAGCGTGTTTTCTCATATCCTGCCAAAATTATTGCATATATATGTACTTTTGGTATTGCTGATTGCAATAAAAAAGGGGGATGCACAACTAAATGTTCCATAGCAAAACTTAACAGCTCCATAGCAAAACTTAACATTCTATGTCTAATCATTTTCGAGTTATGCAAGATACATAGGTGTATATGTACAGATATCATGAAAAAATCCATTTTGAATCCATTTTATAAACTGTTTTGGAACAAAGAGTCCTTTATTCTGCCCACATGTACAGATGTCATCCAAAAAAATAGTCAAAAATGGATTCGGGAAAAGTCAAAATGGATATTTCCATTGAAATCTGATAACCAAATTTTTTTATGATTACAATACTTCCTGTACTTTATCAAGGAAGTAAAAAATCAGTGAGACAAAATATCAACTTTTTGGATTTTAGGTAAGGCATAATGTCTGGCACAATAATTATTCATATAATTAGTAATTTAAATGATTTGAAAAAGTTTAGTATAATTTAATGGGAGTTTAAGCTTTAAAGACATCAGAGGATAAAGAATGTGTGGTGATTGAATATAAACTTTCAATTATTACTTTCAGTGTAGATATTGTTATTCATGACTGCTGTTTAACCATTTCTCTCCCTTTGATGAAAATAATATATGGATTGGAAAGCATATTATTCCAAGCTTCTTCCACCTGGACTAAATAGTTAAACTGAAGTTAACATTATAAGTAATAAAATGTCGTATTATTTCATGTTCAAAAAAAGTTTGCTGAATTTAAATGCTATTTTAATAAGAATCATCATTCAAAAATGTTTAAAAGTTTTTGTGAAAAATTTAAACATTTCATTTTGGTCAGCCGTCAGAATAACATCAGAAATATTAATTATAGAAATAGTTTTTTACATTCAGTCAAAATTACTGAGTAATAAATTTCTTGAATTTGGAAGAAAGAATGTTTTTTTAATGTTTACAAAAGAAGTCAATTTTTTTGTCTAATTCATTTATTTCTTCATGATAGTGTAGCAATACTGTTATTCCTTAAACAAAATAATTTTTAATTTACCATTTATTGATGAAATTATGTTTATAATATTTTTCTTATAATTTAGAGCATTGCCACAGTAAAGGAACCATCTGAAGTTTGGCTAGAAGATGAAGATGAAGATGTAGTTCAGGAAATGATGACATATCAAGATGAAAATCCAGGATTTGAAATGCCTTTTGAAAATTTCAACGTGAGCGCAGATAAAAGTAATATATAATATATACACATAAAATATTTTTGAGTGTTAAAGATTGTTCTGTAATAATCTCCATCTATATAAGAGATTATAATCTTTTGAAATCTGTGGGAATGGTACTGACTGCTTGCAGCTATCTTAAAGCATTGGATAATATTTAACAGTTCAGCATGGGTAACTAGATGTTTTCTGTCAATCTTAGAAAGGAGTGAAGGAAAAAATATTTTCTTGCAGTATTGTCTCTCATTTTAGTCTTTCATGTGAGTTACCACCATAAGATTTAGTTAATTAATTATGAAGGCTGATATATTTTTTTATAAAATGCCGTTGAAAAGTCTATGCCAACAAAATAATTCTTATCTATTGGATACTGTTAATATTCTCCTATTAAATATTTGGGGGGGGGGAGTTGCGAAGTAAACTTGTTTTGAATAGTTTGAAATGCTAAAGCAGTTTTTACATTTTTATCAAAGCGAATGTGATGAATTCTTCTTTCACTAAAATTTGGGTTTGAAAATACAGTCAAAAGTCTTTAATCCGGACGTCCATAATACGGAATGATCTATAATCCGGACCTCAAAGCTAGAAACTTTCTGCGCATGTTTAAACACATAATGCGTTTACGCATGCGCGTTTAATGTATAACGGACGGTATAAGCTAAGCTAAAATTATCTATTTCAGTTAATGTTGCAGATTGCATTGTTCCTTAATCTTCTAATTGGATCCGGCTTATTATTTTTTGCAGACTGTTAGGGCAATTTTATAAAAGTAAGCTTGAACTTTCGATTATGTCAAAAAGAATTTCCAATTCTGGAGCTGCCAAAGGATCTACAAAGCGAAAGCATGTTTCGATGTCCATCAAACAAAAAGTGGAATTGTGGCAAAAAATGGATAAAGGCATATCCTTTGTTTCTCTAACCATTCCGAAATCTGTTTATCAATTTCACGCTGCTCTGCGGGGAAGGGAACGTCGCGGCACTCAATGAACTGGAAGTTGATCTGTCAGCACTATCCTATCTTCAGGGCAGATGTTTTTATTTTATTCGACTTATAATTCCTTACCTAATACTAAATGTAATACTAAATAGTCTTAATACTAAATGTAGTATTTCATTTCGATGTACTCCATCTTTGATATGATTTAAATCAAATTCCTCGTCATTATAAATATCACGAATACACATCAAATAGTTTTCTGGTTTTAATTTTCTAATTTTGACTATGCGTAATGTATGCTTTACGCATGCGCGCGTTGAAAGAAATGTTTAATAAAGTAAACAAATAAATATTAAGCTTTGTTTTTGTAAATTTTGATACCCTTTAGATCATAATTGCTCTTTATTTCATAAATTATGGTTTCATATTTTTAATTTTATAATTTCTGCATGCCATCTTTCCAGATTTACATTCATGATCTATAATCCGGAAAAACCGATAATCTCGAATCGCCGAAGTCCCGACGAGTCCGGATTAAAGACTTTTGACTGTATGATGTTTTTTTCTTTCTTCTTTCTAATAAGATCACCATGTTACAAAGAAATGCTCTTATTCTCTGTTTCTTATTAACTTCAGCCCTTTTTTCTTAAAAATGTATTATTTAGCTTTTGTATAATCCAAGAGTATTCAGCTTGTTTTGCTCAGATCCCAGAGATGAAATTTGTATAATATAACAAAAAATGAATGAAAGGGTGTATAATTTGCCATTTCATTCATTAGAATCAATAGAGGTGACAATAGATGTCAATAGATGTGACATTTAATTTTAAAATGAGAACTGCCTGAATGATTTTTAAGTGGATGTGACTGTTTACTTAAAGTAATGATTTCACTTGCTTGCAGAAAAGACATGATATAGTTAGTGTCCAGACTTACAGCATGCTCTTTATGAAGTGCCAAAAGACGCCTACAAACCAAAAAAGTCCGTGAGTCAGTACCATGCCAGTTTCTAGTTTTATAATGGAAACTATGCCATTTTTAAACTTTCATCATTTGGCACCACTACACTGACTACCAATAAGTATTTGGACACCTGTGATAGAAAAGAAAAACTAACTTTATTAAAAATCAATAGTTGGTAGGACCTCCACGAGAGGTAATTACAGCGTGGACCCTCCGGGGCATACTTTCCACAAGTCTTTGTATGACAGCTAGTGGTATTTTCTTCCACTCGGCTTGGAGAAGACATAGAAGTTCCTTCATAGGAAAGACATAGAAGTAATTCAGGGGTGCACGGGTAGTGCACCCCTGAATTCGGCAATGCAACTCATCCCAAAGGTTCTCGATAGGGTTCAGGTCTGGACTCTGGCCAGGCCAGTCCATTCGATGAACTCCATTGACACCATACCAAGCCTTGGTTAATGTCGAAACATGACAACTGGCATTGTCATCCTGAAAGTAACAGGGGTCCAACCCGTAAACTGCCACCCATGAATGGGGACCAAGGGTCCCAGCCCATACCAGGAGAAACACCCCTAGACCATAATTCCGCCTTCGCCAAACTTGACTGTTGGCACAATGCATTCAGGCAGGAGATGTTCTCCAGGTAGACGCCAGACCCAGACCCTGCCATCCGAACAGTAAAGGGTGAACCTTGATTCGTCACTCCAAAGAACCCGTTTCCACTGATCTACGGTCCAATTTCAATGTGCTTAGCACCACATTAACCGAGCAGTGCGGATCCTTTGTGATCAAAGGCTTATGTGCAGCAGCACGACCATGAAAACCAAGCAGATGTGCTTCCTTATGGATGGTATTCATTGAAACAATACTCCCGGATGCCTGTTGAAACTCCTCGCGGATGAGGCCTATCGGTTGGGTGCGGTTCTTCCGAATTTCTCTGAACAGCACTCGTCGGTCTCTATCCCCCAGTTTCTTTGGTCTGCCGACTCGGGGCACATTCTGACAATCACCGCTCACCTTCCACTTCTTAATCACATAGGCCACTGTCGATATTGGATATTTCAGATCGCTAGATATTTCCCTTAAGGATCGGATACATTTGTGATACCCGATAATTATACCTTTCTTGAAATCAGAGAGCTCCGAATTGCGAGGCATCTCGCATGCGACTAAAGCCGATGCTGTTTCCTACACAATATATACCGGCGGAGTCCATGGCGTACCTTGGGACTGCAGATATCGTCATTTGCATAGGTGTCCAAATACTTATTGGTAGTCAGTGTATTAAAACCTATAACTAAAAAAATTAACGAACAAACTGCTAAAAGCTGTTGAGTTGGATATAATGTTAGCTACATAATTGATTAAACTGGTTCATATACACTTTAGTTCACCAAATATCACTCATATTTACAAACTCTAGGTTTTGTCTCAGCTTGGGGCTCACAGTCCAGATTTCAGCCTTTTCATTATGACAGTTTTAAAATAACATGCAGTGCATCAAGGTAGGTCTAGATAGCAATCTTGCTTGCTTGCAGAAAGGTATGGCAAAAGTTCCATTTTCATTCATAAATCTTTGCAGTTCTGTATATGTATATTTCTTCACTTGGACTTTATAAATGATTTTTGAGTTAACCATGTGCAGGTCCTTGCAAGATGATTAAAACGTTATATACAACAGTAATGGTTGAATTTAATAGAAGTTAGAATTGTCTCTGGATGGAGTATATTTGCTATTCTGCTACATGATAATGATAAAGGCGAATGAACGTTTTTCTCCTAATCTTTCAACAACTGAATTTGATGGGCATTTAAAGTCTCCTATCACAACAAGAGATGGCAAATTATACATTTTCCAAAGACTGTAGAATAAAACTGTGTAGTATTACCTCTAAACGTCACTAATTTGCTTTCTTTGGTATTATATTTTGTATATTTTTTAGCTGGCGATTTCAGTGTAAGACATTGTTTTATTTTTTCACTTTCCTATATCATAAAAATCAACTTATAAATGTTATTTCAGAAAATGTTTATATTCAGTGTCAAATTGAAACTGTAGCTGTCTTTTATTAAGAAAAATAATTTAATTCCCTCTGAATGTCTATATGATAAATGTCTTAGAAATAATGAAAAATATGCAATATTCATTGCCATTTTTCCAAAAGACTGATAAAAGATTTTAAGATTTAAAAAGAAATTAATGAATTTCAGTATATTAGTTTTCTATTACGAATTTGTTTTCTATTACAAATTTGTTTTCTAATATGAATTCGTTTTCTAGTACGCTAGTGATTTCTCTTTTTATATCATCATGATCTGCTTCAATCTTTTCTTGCACAGTCTTCATTTCTACTTAACGGATTCTTGACCAGCATGAACTGCTTTCATTTCTTCTTTAACTCTTTCGCATCGAGAGAGTTCAAAATCTCAATTCCCCAAACATCGAAAACGCCCGTATCTAAGAATTTCTCCTGGAATGCTTTTCCTTCCCCTATGACAAATTGAATACTACAGCGCTAACAATAGCCTTGCTTAAGTAAAGCGAGAACTTCTTTCTTCGACGCTTTGACACTGTGTGAAGTTCCCCCTTGGGACGGGATTGCAACTTCGGGCATCAAAAGCTAAACACTGACAGTAAACAAAGGAAAGGAAGGAACAAAGGAAACAAGGAAGCTACTTTTAGTAGTTTCAAAAGAATGATTGACACGTGATTTAATAACGCCTGAAAGCAATGAGTAATGCAGTAACATGATGGGGGAAAGCACTGGGTAGGAAATTATTCAGGCGTTTCGGGTGTCCAGCCGATGTCTGAATGTTTGGGCGTTTGGGGCGACTTCAATGCGAAAGAGTTAATGGATTCTTGGCCTGCTTTCATCTCTGCTTGGAATGCTGCAGTCATCAACTGTATCATCTGTTCTTCCATCGCTCTTGTAATTGGCATTCAAAATCCCACTTCTGACACCAAAATTGTTGTGTGCGTACGCATTCGTTATGAATTAAATGTGCAAGTCCAGTGAAAAATGAACAAAATTTACTATTATCACAACAAATAACACAAAATGCCTAAATTTCCTCAGATATTTGTACAGAATTACAATATCTCACAGTAG